CAGTGAATGGGTGCCGTCAGAATGAGAGTCCAAACAGCTGATAAAAAACACAACACAACTCCAGTCCATCAATTAACATCACGTGAACAAAAAAAAAAGTGTTTGTATGAAAGAAAAGCATAATTAAAGTGTTTTAACTTTAAACTGTGGAATAAACCAAAATACCAGTCCATAATCCATAATAACATTGTCTTCAGTGAAAAAGTCCATCGCCTGTTGTCCTGTATCAAAACCCAAAACCCTCTCCTGATTCAAACGAGACATCTTTTTCACTGGAGAAAGCAATACTATGGATAGAGAACCCGTATTTTAGCCAGAAACAACAGTCTGAATTGAAAAACGTCTTAATGATGAACTTGTTTATTACAAACGCACAGATTGTGGATTACTTACATTACTTGTGAATTTTCATCACAATATCCATAGGATATTCCATTGGATCTAAAGTATCCATTAGTGAGCAAGTAATGCTAAATTTCTCCAAATCTGTTCCGATGAAGAACAAAAATCATCTACATGTTGGATGGCCTGAGGGTGAGTACATTTTCAGTGGTGGAAATTTTTGGGTGGACTGTACCTTTAAAGCATATGATGTATATAATTATATTGCTGCCGATAAAGCATACATTGTGACTAACATTCAAAACATTCTTTTCTTTTCTGAATTTTGAAAGCAAAGAATGAATAATATGCTAATACTGATAGTAATACTAATAATAATGATTGTTACAAGTGTGCAGAATGTTTCATATGTAAGCACTGTATTTAACAGTATCTATTCAAGGTCTTGTGGTCTATTTAGCATACACCAATATTTGCATATAATTTCCATGTCTGGTTCTCTTTGTCAGTATGCCTTATTTTGTTTTGTTTTTGCTTACATCCTGATACAAATTCCCCATGGATTTTGTTTTCAATCAGTTAAAATAAAAATGAAGTGGTTTCCAACCTCATATCAGATATACACCGATCAGGCATAACATTATGACCACCTACCTAATATTGTGTTGGTCCCCCTTTTGCTGCCAAAACAGCCCTGACCCGTTGAGGCATGGACTCCACTAGACCCCTGAAGGTGTGCTGTGGTATCTGGCACCAAGATGTTAGCAGCAGATCCTTTAAAGGGTTAGTTCACCCAAAAATGAATATTAGGCTGCGTTTTACTCAACCCCGAGGCATCCTAGGTGTATATGACTTTCTTCTTTCAGACGAATCCAGTCGGAGTTATATTAAAAATTGTCTTTGATCTTTCAAGCTGTTTAATGCCACTCAGCGGGTGTTGCATTGCTTCAGTCCAAAAGAACTTAATATAAAAATCGCCCATCCATAAATAAAAGTGTCTCACACGGATCCAGGGGGTGAACAAAGGCCTTCTGTAGCGAATCGATGCGTTTTTGTAAGAAAAATATCCATATTCAAAATTTAATAATCACTTGAATCTAGCTTGCACTCGCTGTTGTAAACAGAAGCAGTTCTGGGGGAATGACGTTTGAGGTCAGCTTTGCGCATGCGCCGCTCAGAAGTGATGAACGCGGAAGCGCAGGGGAGAGATCAAAACAAAACAACGGTCACTTATTAGAAGTACAAAACGAGGATTTGTAAAGAAGAATGTCGGAGGATTTCGATATAAGCCAAGAGGAGACTGGTTTTCCTTTGCTAAAGTAAGGAAACTTTGCTTCCTTTGATCCTGTAAACAAACGTTGGTTTTCACGAGACTCACTGGCGCATGTGCAACGCCGACCTCATACGTCATCCTCCCGGAACTGCTTCCAGTGTACAACTGTTGGCGCAAGCTACATTAAAGTCATTATTACGTTTTGAATATGGATATTTTTCTTACAAAAACGCATTGATTCGCTACAGAAGGCCTTTGTTCACCCCCCGGAGAAGTGTGAGACACTTTTTTTATGGATGGGCGATTTTTATTTAACCTGAAAGAAGAAAGTCATATACACCTAGGATGCCTCAGGGGTGAGTAAAACGCAGCCTAATTTTCATTTTTGGGTGAACTAACCCTTTAAGTCCTGTAGGTTGTGAGGTGGGGCCTCCATGGATCGGACTTGTTTGTTCAGCACATTCCAAAGATGCGAATTTGGAGGCCAAATCAACACCTCAAACTCGTTGTTGTGCTCATCAAACGATTCCTGAACCATTTTTGCTTTGTGGCAGGGAACAATATCCTGCTGAAAGAGACCACAGCCACCAGGGAATACCGTTTCTATGAAAGGGTGTACTTGGTCTGCAACAATGCTTCGGTAGGTGGTACGTGTCAAAGTAACATCCACATGGATGGCAGGACCCAAGGTTTCCCAGCAGAACATTGCCCAAAGCTTCACACTGCCTCCGCCGGCTTGCCTTCTTCCCATAGTGCATCCTGGTGCCATGAGTTACCCAGGTAAGTGACACACACGCACCCGGCCCTCCACGTGATGTAAAAGAAAACGTGATTCATCAGACCAGGCCACCTTCTTCCATTGCACTGTGGTCCAGTTCTGATGCTCACGTGCCCACTGTTGGCACTTTCGGTGATGGACAGGGGTCAGCATGGGCACCCTGACTGGTCTGCGGCTATGTAGCCCCATACACAACAAACTGTGATGCACTGTGTATTCTGACACCTTTCCATCAGAACCAGCATTAACTTCCTGAGCAATTTGAGCTACAGTAGCTCGTCTGTTGGATCGGACCACACAGGCCAGCCTTCACTCCCCACGTGCATCAATGAGCCTTGACCGCCCATGACCCTGTCACCAGTTCACCACTGTTCCTTCCTTGGACCACTTTTGATAGATACTGACCACTAGAGACCGGGAACACCAAAATGTTCACTTGCTGCCTAATATATCCCACCCACTAACAGGTGCTTAAACAGGCACTGAAAAAACGATTGTGATGTTTTGTTGTTAAGCGTTTGCTTTTGGTGAAAGTGGTTTCATCTTTTTAACTCATTTAAAATGAGTCTGTGCTGCCACCTAATGCTGAGATACAGTATGACAGAACAACAACAAAAATCTTAGGTTTGACAATCAGAAAAATGTGGATGATAATAGATAGTTATATGGTTTAATGTCCAAATTAATAGATTTTCGCAATGTGAAATGTAAGAAATAATAACGTAAATGAAAAAAATGTCAAATTAAGCTATGATGTCCTGAAAGTTAAGACTAGTAATACAATTACTTAAAAAAAAATTAAATAGTTGTATTACAGTGAAGCTTGAAAATTTGTTTGAAAAATTTATGTCTTTACAGTTTAAGCTCAATGTCAAGTAAATACGGGTACAAAAATGCATTTGATATGTTGAAGTAAAAATACAGCAACAAGTTTATAAGCAGGAAAGCATATACATATACGTTATATAGCATGTGAACATATGCTGTGTTTTACTTGTGAATACTTAAATGTACATTACACAGCTCTATGGAATACTTGATTCTACTTGAATCAATTACTATCTTTAAAGGCTGTCAAAATGAGCCAGAAATCTCCACATCATTAGCACTTACAAATACCAGTTTTATTCCTATCTATATTTTGAAGGTTTTTACAGGGGGTTTGTTTGTATATCATTCAACTGATTTATATATTTTATTTGACAGTATTTTCTGATTTATAGAGTGATAAAAAAGATATATACAAAATCCCCAATGTGAAAACTTATATAAATCTGATATATCAACAAAAAGAAAAAAGAATTCTGAACCTAACTTTATCCAATGTTCAGATTTCTGTTATATAAAAATGTATGCAAACTTGCACATACTTAATTAGATCATTTTTATGCTTCAACGTAATATTTGAGAAAACTTGTAATGCAGAACCGTGTAAATACATGTACTGTGCTTAATCAACTGCGGAAGTGTGGTGAAATCCATAGTAGTTTTTTATGCTATTCACCTGTGGTGTCTTGCTTTAAAAGGCCTCAGATTGCACACCAGATTAGGTATATTTACATAAAATTCCTTTCGAAATACATTTGACCTTAAAGGGGTCATATGATGCGATTTCAAGTTTTCCTTTCTCTTTGGAGTGTTACAAGCTGATTGTGCATAGATAAGATCCCTGAAGTTGCAAAGACTAAAGTCTCAAAACCAAAGAGATATTCTTTATCAAAATTAAGACTCTGCCACGCCCCCCTAAAATGGCTCGTTCTAACACGCCCCCACATATCTACCTCACTATGTGGAAATATTTGTGTAATGCCACCCAAATGTTCACGCAAAGAAAGAAGGCGTGGTTTCAGTAACCGCAGTTAGTGTTGAAGCAGCCATGTCAGGGAGACGCTCTGTGTTTCTAGGCGAAAGCAAAAGCACTTTATTTGGCCTTCCGAAAGTAGATGCATTTAGGAATCTTTAAAATTACTTACAACAGAACAGTGATGCATTTTATGGACGACCGTTTTGTGAACCTAGGAGAGGAGGTAATTCTGACTTTACTATGACAATCTGGCGCTTCTGAATCAGCAACTGTAAGTATGTTTTGTTTTTAGTTTAAGTATTTGCTATTGACTGTTCAAATGC